CTTGTGTATGCCTGTCACATATGGAGCGAGGCTATAGAAAAGCAAGGCGAAGCACTTGCAGTGTCTTTGGACATTTCTAAAGCCTTTGACAGGGTCTGGCACGCAAGCCTTTTAAGCAAGCTTCCCTCTTATGGGCTTCCCACTGACCTTTGCAATTGGATCTCGGATTTCTTGAGCGAACGTTCGATTCGAGTGGTCTTAGAAGGCTACTCTTCCGAACATATGGCGATAGATGCCGGAGTTCCTCAGGGTTCCGTACTGTCTGCAACTCTCTTTCTGCTGCATATCAATGATATGTTAATTCCAGGTACCTTTGCGTATGCTGATGACAGCACAGTTGTAGATAGGTACTTGACCAATGCAAGGGTCAGTGGAGAGGAAATCCAGTCTTGTCGAGAGTCCATGGTTAGCCGTTTAGATTTGACACTCCAGGCAGTCTCCGATTGGGGCAATGCCAATCTTGTCAAATTTAACGCTACCAAAACGCAGGCGTGTCTATTCTCCACAAAACGGAGTCCCTTTGAGCTGACTCCGACTTTTCGTGATATATCCATACCGATAGCCGATTGTCTCCAGCTACTTGGAATGGACCTGTCGTCCAATTTGAACTTCGGCAGATACATTGAATCCACGGCCAAAAATGCAGCAAGGAAGCTTGGGATCCTTTCCAGGGTGAGGCGGTACTTTACACCGGGACAGTTGCTCCAGCTGTACCAAGCACAAGTCCGATCGTGCATGGAGTACTGCTGCCACCTTTGGGATGGCTCTGCGACATATCAACTGGCCACTTTGGATTCAATTGACAACCGTGCCAAGAGGCTTATAGGTGACTCGGAATTAGTGGAGGCGAAGCTGCAGAGCCTTGAACACCGCCGTAAAGTTGCCTGCTTATCGGTATTTTACAGGATATATCACGGAGAGTGTGCGATGGAATTACATGATTTAATTCCGCCTTCCCCTTTCCATCACCGGGGGACTAGGCGTAGGCTTGGGTTCCACCCCTATGTTGTGGATATTCCAAAGATTCGCACGAAGCGTTACGCTTCCACATTTATATGGCGAACGGCTATGGAGTGGAATTCCCTGCCTGCAGACTTGTTCCCTGAACGTTATAACTTGGACCTTTTCAAGGCGAGAGTGAATAGGCATTATTTAGGTGTGCATGCTCCATCGTCGACCTCATCTTCACCTTCCAGGAGGGATGGGGGAGAAAAACCCCGCATTTTTTTTTTAAAAAAAAAAAAAAAAAAAAAAAAAAAAAAAAACCATTTTTCTAACCCCTGCGATCATAAACACTAGAGCATATGATGCAATTGCAGGACATCTCCCATGAGCGGCATGGTCTTGATAGCCTTGTATCAAATCTAGTTTTGCATTGTAATGCAGATTTTTCTTTATTGACATTTCATCCCACATCAACACATATTCGTTATCAGATCTCTTCTCATTTTGTATACTTTTCTGTTTAAATATTTGTCTATTTATACCGACATCCATCTTAAATTTATTCAATAAACATTGTAATGTACTGGGTGCAGGTAGGCAAATCATCCTCCTTAGCAGTCTGTAACATGTTGGTGAGCGCTTGTATAGTCTCAAAGCTATAATTTTCGAGTCGGTATCCCATCTCCGGGCCTTTGCATCTTTTTTATAATTTTTTATTTCTCCTTGTAAAAATAATGCCATTGTGGGTGAAATTTTGGCATTCAAAATTCTATTAAAGGACTCATTATTTACAATTTCTTTCATGAAAGATTTGTTTTTCATGTTTTTAATTATTTTTTGTAATCTATAGACTTTTTTCAAACTATTTTTATACTTCTTCAAAACTTTCGTCCTTTTATTGTTTTGGTTTTCTTGATTTACTTCAACTTCACTCTCTTTGTTGTCATTTTGAATGTGTGCGTTATTTTGTGTTCTGGCTATTGCCTGGTCAACATTCATCACGTTTAAATTTTCCAATAGAGGTTTGGATGGACCTGATCTAGGTTCCACAGTATTTGTTGCTCCATCCAGAACTTCAATAATCTGAAAAATGCATCAAGTTAAAAATCGTTATGTAACTTTATATCAAACTAGCTTCAAAATTGGAATACACATTGGGTTCGTAAAATATTACTAATTTAAAAACACCTTGACCATTATTATTTGTGGTGATAATTTACTAACCTTATCACATTCTTCATCTGGAAATGCAGATTTAACAATTTTTTTACCCACAATATCAATAAAATATTTCTTATTGAAATGTTTCGTGCACAACATTCTGTGTTCAGAGTACAGCTTGGTCTGGAACTCTGGTGAATACCATGGGCCTTGTGGAAAACAATACTTAGCCCACAATTCACATCTGAAATTGAGAACAGTGTCATGTAATTTCCGCAAAATAACCGGCATCCGGTGCGACCTTACTTGAACATTTTAATCACATTCTATAGTACTTACTTAAGGCTATTTGTTCTTCCAGGCTTCGGGAAGCGGTGCAAAATAGTGTTACTAAATAGTAACACTATTACTATATCTCTAGGAGAAACGTCACATTTTAAACACTTCCTTGCGTTTTCTTTCATATTGTAAGAAAGAAAAGAGTCACTATCTCAATAATGGAGTCCTGTCTCACAGTTCACAACACTGGGCTCACCGAAACACAAACGGAGGAGCAAGAAGCTCAACTCAACGTTACGCGACGGGAAACCGAGAATAAGTTTATAAAATAGAGAATTTACAATACAAACAACAACGTTTTTTTTTTTTTTAATTTATTAAGGCTTTGGCAAAGCCATCAGCCTAAACATGAAGTTTAATTATGTTTCTGTAAATATGGCCGCCACAAAGAGGATAGGCAATTTGAGGCGGCGTGCTTGGATTGACTCGGGATTCCTTAAAACGGGCCGCTACGGGTATTCTAGTTCGAGATTCGTATAATTTCGCGTTTTAATCTGCGATTAAGGCACAATAGCACTATCCTATTCCACTTTAAACTAGATTTCACAAAATAATTGAAAGTCAAAATAAAAACGTAACTTTTCCCTCCAAAAGGTCCAGAGCGAATCTTCTAAACAACAACGTGCGCAAGCGACGACGGCCATTTTGTGGAAAAAAAATAGGGATGCACATAACGATTTAATTTTTATGAAAATCGATTCATGTGTATACGACATAGCTATTTTTTGTATCGATTCATGCTATTTTTAAGCAAATCGATTCAACATTAAGGCGAATCGAAACGTCTGAATTGTATTTATAATTTAAACAAAATAGTATCTTTCCGAACCACTATATAGTAAGTCTAATCCGATTTTATATTGATCTTCGAGAAAAGTAGTTTGACAACATCCAAGTGTACAATGAATAACGACTATATTACTTAAGCTGTATTATAGACAAGAACATTCACAGAAAGTATACGTTGCAAAGAAGACACTATTAATAGCAATAGGTTCATAATCTACTATGATGACAATAGTGTTTTCTTTTATTTTATTTTTTTCAAAGAGTGTTAATACCGTAGTACCGTGGATTGACGCGATAGTCTATACCTATCTATTGGGAATAACCTGCAGGCAAATAATATTGAATGTTGACCAATGATATTTATCTATAGTTTTTTTAATTAATGGAAAGCTCCTGGTGAAGTTGCTATTAGTTGTACAAGATATTTCGTTTAGCTTTGATCTCGCTCGTTATAGCGTAAAGAGTTTTTGTTTTTTTTAGGATTGCGCTTGACCATGGTCTTTGACAATTGACGTAGTGGTAAGTGTAGATGTGTTTACTATAAAATATCAGTTGGCAGTTTTCAGTTTAATAAATAAGCAATTTATTTATGTATTATCAAAAGGTATATCAACAGCAAAATAATATGTATTAATACATTCATACAACTTATTCGGTAACATTCTGGTTAGTTTTTATTAATTTACATATTATGTAATGATGAATTTTTTAAATAGATATTGTCGTCTTGTTGTTCGTTTCCATTCTGACATTATATTCCATTTTAATATAATTACATAAATATCTAATTAATTCATTTTGAGTTTGGTGTGTCTATAATACTTAATCCATGATTTATGATTTGATTATGTTTTGCCTCGTTTTTACGCGCGTCACTCGATACTTGAGGAAACGAGATGGAAATTGTTAAACATGTGGTATTTTACTAATTATCACGCCATTACCAATAAAAGTAAAGTAAAGTTCTATCTCGTTCTCTATATAAGGTACGGGGTTACTAAATATCAGTATATATTATTATGATATATTATGTTCATATATTATTATGGTTCTATATGTTCTATACGAAATAATTAAAATATACGATCCAAACAATCGATTCAAAGTGTAAAATCGTACATCTCTAGTAAAAGTTCATCAGTGTTGCCAAATTGACCGATTATAATGATTAAACAGATCCTTCACGATAAATTTATAAAATATATCAAATAAATTACCTTGTACTTTATGGTAAATTTATAAAATATATTAAATTATCAAAAGAAATAACTTTTGTATTTGAAATGTAATAAAATAAAAAACATGTCATAATTTATGTAGGTGAGATTGAATATACTTTCTACCTAGTAACACTGTTCGCTATCTCGCTTCGATTTTCATTCGCTATCTCGTTTTGATATTGCCCCATGTAGGTATTCCCAGCGGCTCAGCCAATGTCGGCAGGGCCTGGTCACCGGTGTGAAGAAAACGAAATCAGCTATTACTAAAGAAAGCCGAGCTGTTTGTACTTCCACGTCACATCTTGCCAGTCGTCATAATAATTACTACTTATTTCAACTTTCTCTCTTTTATTTGTTCGGTGTATGCTAATAGTGGTCTTCTTCGCTTTCTCTTTTATTTTATTCTCATTATATTTTATAGAAATTTGACTTTCAAAAATTCGGTGATCCAAAACCGTAATATTTAAAACCGTAATTTTAAAAATAACATTCTGGCAACAATTTTAATTCTGTAAAATTAGCTCTGAAATTTTTCTTTTTTCTTTCTTTTTCTGACGAGTTGTCGACGTTTTGGTGGAAGTCCGCCTTTTTATCCGATTTAATCGGGTTGAAATTAATTTAATTCATTAAGTTAAGGTCGAAATATCCTACCACAATGCCGCCTAAGTTCGATCCTAACGAAGTTAAAATCGGTGAGCATTAAAACAGTGCACTATAAAAGTTTTCGTTAATGTTACTTTTTTCTACTTGTGCTTAAACTTTTACAGTTTATTTAAGATGTGTGGGAGGAGAAGTCGGTGCCACTGCATCTTTGGCTCCCAAGATCGGTCCCTTGGGTCTCGTGAGTATACAATGAAAGTATTCTTCGCTTCCAAATTCTAACCTATAATCTCAGCGTGGCAGTCCAGAATACAGAGGGGTGTTGCATCTCTCGATGTTGTAAACTGCGAGATAATGTTTGTTTTGTAATTTTTACAAGAAAAGACAGTATCATGTTTATGTAAGCGTATCGTGGATTACAAATGAATCGACGATTGTCTTGTACAAAACGGTGATTGATGATTGATTGATGATCCTGGGGGGTGCCTCCCTACCAGGCGCGTCCTTCCGGGTGGCGGATGGAAGGAACCCGCGACTTAGGATGTATTTCCCTGTCGCGGCTACTCCGAATGTCTAAGCCTATGGTCTTTTTGAACCTCGTTGCTAAATTGAAGGTTATGAAAAGACTACAGGGTAAATAAGGAGTCGCGGACCAGGCCATGTGACTGCCACGCTTTTACAGGTAACAAAGATATATTTGTGAGTATGTGTATATTTTTTGATGTAAGTACTAATTGAAAATCGCAGGACCTAAAATGGAACTGCGCATCGAAACTTTAAAGTTTATAGGCTATTTAGAGTAAGAATGCCCTAAATTTGTTTCCTACATTGTATTATTTACTCGCAAAAAATTATTTGTTCACAAAAAGGTTTAGGAGTCGATACTACTTCAGTTCAAATTTTAATTTTCCCGTACTAGTATGGTTCATTTTGCTTGGATCCAGCTGCTGGGACACTGGCTTTATTTCAGAATTTATGTTTTTTACCAATTAAAAAAAGGCATTTGAAAAATGTATATTGTATACCATATGTCTCCTATTTAGTAGAGTTGAACTAAAAAAAACATCATTAGTATAATATGTCATGTGCCTATTGTATACTTCGGTTTTCTAGTAAAATTTTGAGGTAAGTTTGTGTTTTTTTCTATCATGAAAATTTTTAGGAATCATTTTTTCACATGGTATAGTCATCACTGATGACTAAAAATAAAAAAAATAAAAAAATATAATAAATTTGAGGACATACACTGATGAGACACTGATGCTCATCAGTGTATGTCCTCAAATTTATTATTTTTTTTTTTCGAAAGTGATTGGTTCAACACTTTCACTGTTATGCGGAATCAACCAAAGCCATTTGAGGTTGTATCGACTCTTAAAAGGTTACATGACATTAAATAATTTTTTAATGAATGAATATTGTTTTGTAATATCAAAGGAAAGATTATGAAATTAATCTGGAAATACCTCAATTTATAATAAATTTAGGCCTGTTGGTGACAATCTAATTATTCTCGAATTAAATAACATGATTTCTTTCCTGCAACAGTCTCCTAAAAAGGTGGGAGATGACATTGCCAAAGCAACTGGAGACTGGAAGGGCCTGAAAATAACAGTCAAGCTAATTGTACAAAACAGGCAAGCCCAGATTTCTGTTGTGCCTTCTGCTGCTGCCCTAATAATCAGAGCCCTAAAGGAGCCTCCTCGTGACCGCAAGAAGCAAAAAAATAGTAAGTAAACTTCAATAATTATTTATATTTCTAGTTCGTCAAAATAACACTGGTTATGTATTGCTAAATCCTGGAGAATAAATTTTATCCCTTTACAAACTAACTAACAGTAATATATATCGAGTTCTTAGGTTTTCGTGATTGTTACACATGGAAATGAAACTATTTTTCCAGATTTAAATCCCGTATATTTGTTTTTTCAACCAAACCGACGTTTCGAGCCCTTTACAAGTCAACCGTGATCATGGCCTATAAAGGGCCCGAAACGTCGGTTTGTTTGGAAAAACAGATATACGCGATTTAAATCCGGGAAAATAGTTTCATTTCCTATAGCACTAATATATTTTCACTGAACTTTCATTCAAATCAGTTGATGGCTAAGCATCTATCGGTACCAGAGGATATTCCCTTGGTTCATGGCTTTATACCCCACACCTCCCTGACTATCGTAGTTAGCATTAGGTGATGTCTTCCAGGCCTCTATTATAGACATTTACAGTAATAGCACTTCACATCTTATGCTGTAGTTTGTGTTAGACTCGTTCTGCTAATGAGCTTACAATCTGTGGAGAATGTTACGTTTTCAAATTTGGATTAAGATTGTTTTACTCTGGCAGTAGTAATGACAAGAGGGACAATATTATTTACAGTTACAAATATCTACTTTTTGAAGAATAGATTAAAAAATAGCCCCAGTTGACATTTGATATTGCAATATCAATTAGTGTTTATCCTATTTGAATGAATAAATAATTAATAAAATAATGTACTTACTAATACTTGAGAAACTGTGCCATGGACACACACATAGATAACCACAAATCTGCCCTGATAAGCCGAAAAGCGCTATCTCAATCGGAGTAAGTTTTGAGAAAATCGACTTTTTGTAAATTGCATTTTATGTAATTGTATTGTATTTAAAAATACTTCTTAGTGGTTTTTTAAATGTTTTAAGTTAGATAGCGCTATTTCTATTATACCATTAGATGCGAAATTTTTATAGCTATTGAATGGCATAAAAAAAACTAAAAAGGCGTAACTCAGAGATAGCGCCTTTCGGCTTAGCAGGGCAGAAATTGCACCCCAATTCACGACACGAGATAAAGGACATTTTGAAAGGACAAAGGATATTTGTATGGCCTATATTTAGGCCATACAAATATTTCTTCTTGCCATCAGCTCATTATAATTTACAATAATAATTTGTTGAGACTACTAGACTGTACGTTACAGATACTGTAGTTTAATTACACCACATCTACCACATAATATATAAAAATATTAATAAATATCTTTATCTCAATTTCCAGTTAAACACAGTGGCAACATAACCCTCGAAGATGTGATCGGCATTGCCAAGGTTATGAGGCCCCGCTCGATGGCGCGAGAACTATCTGGGTCAGTAAAGGAAATCCTTGGCACTGCACAGTCAGTCGGCTGCACAGTTGAGGGCAGGCCCCCACATGACCTAATTGTGGACATCAACAATGGTGCACTCACTATTGATGAATAAACTATGAGAACTTCGTAAATTTGTATCTGTTTAAATCCTTAGAACTAATTTATTCATCATCATACGTCGGCACGACTCTTCGTTAATACTGACTGGCTAAAAAGTTGTTAAAAATCCAAATACAAAGACACGACAACATCACACAGAAAAATTCGTGAGGTCCAGTGGTTCGTTCGTGGCTTAGTTGGTATAGCGTCTGTATAGACGTCGAATCCGGCCGAATCGAAGGAATTTTTTCTGAGTGTTCAACCTTTGTATTAATAATTATAACAATCTAGTGGAGTAATTTCACATAAAAAATAATTTAATTCAATTGAATAAAAATTTAAAACCTGGCTATTTTATAGTTGAAATGTCTTTTGTTTGATAAATTGTAATTAGAACCGAACCGTTAAAATATCCTTTTACACGTTAAAATAGTATCTCCGTTTTCTTATTCACACGCTATTATTCTAGTGCTACTAAAGGTACTTCTAGATTAGCTCGATTTTTACCGATCGTTATTGTCGCTGTCGTGTGTTTTGATGTTCAATAGGTTAAGGTCTATCAGCTAACAGATTGCTCGATTTTTATCGAGCGCTACAGTGGCCTTAGCAATGAACAAATATCAGGGTATGGCCCGTTTCAAGAAACCCCTTAGTCCATTTTTTAGTTTCTGGATATTGTACACTTTTTGCCTTTGAAAAAATAATACCAAATGTTTGAAAAGAAACGGTGGTGGATCACAGGAAGTGATTTTAAACGGGACTTAAGGATTTTATTTACTTTTTTCTTGACTTAACGATTTAAACTTTTTTTCTGGAGTTAAAGATAAAATGCTCTACAGTCTGATTAATCATGATTATTGATGAGAAATTCTATGAGTAAAATGTTAATGTTATGTATTGAGATACAAAAGAAAGCCTTCAGGTTAATCATAATTTTAAGTATGTACGTACTTGCAAAAAGAAATCCATAAGTTAGATAGCATAAACTAAAGAAAGAAAAAAAAGATGGACTAAGGGATTTTCTTGGACTTAGGTTGATCTGGACGTAAACTCATTGGACTTGGGAATTTATATTATTTTTAAACAGAAACTAGTTTGAAACAAAGCGGTCAGACTAAAACATAGACAAAGTTGAGTTTTCTACAAATCGTGACTGACTATACTATATAATAATAATAATATACTACTGATAATAGTGCATAAAATCCCTAAACGGACTCGGGGTTTCTTGAACTGGGCCATTCATTAGTAGAAACCTACGCCTAAATTTCAATTATTGCGCAGTATCTGTCGATCGACAAAAATGCGCTATCGATCGTCTGTTGTACATATTTACTCGATTTTACCTGATTATGTGTTGAATGTCTGTTGCTTACACATGTACTCGTTTGGTTTGATCACAAGAGTTGAAAGTCAAAAATCGAGCAAATATGTAAGCAACTTTATCCTGTACGCTAATTTGAGGGTGTAGCAGACCTTAATTAAAGAATATAGCTAATTAAAGAATAAGAGTGGCTAACTTAATTAAAGAATAAGAGTGGTTACACACGGCGACTTAGCAGCGATGCAATCGTGCGTTTGTATCGATGCAGTTGCGCGTTTGCATCATCGCTTAAAATCGCGCGTGTGTGTAGACGATTAGGTAGCTACTGCATTGCTGCTAAAAGTCGCTCTTAATTAAGGACGAAACACAAAAGTGCGATGCGATGTCGCATTGCAGAAATCTACGAGCTCGCACTACGCATCGCAAGAATTTCCGAATTGCTCCGCATCGCGCATTCCTGCTATGGTAATCTTTGTATTTTTTTTCCTATATTTGCTTATCAATAACAGCAGTGCAACACTCTTTTAAGGATCTCTGTCGCTGCCTGGTTTAAAAAATACGTTTAGTGCCGTTGACGATCGTCGAAGTAATGATCACCCGAACCGTGGCAGTGAGACGCTTTGCAGCACGAAATCACATCGCAGCAATTCGGGACGCAGTTTTCTGTACTGCGAATTCGCATCGCGCCGATTCGCAGTTTTGTGTTTTGACCCTTAGCGTGCGTTCAAATTAGCCGCTGTTAGACATGCTGCAGCCGTGCGACTGTCTTTTTATACTTAGAGGATGGAAAAAAAATCGTTTCCATAATCAACGCTTTCATACAATTTCTAGAAGTAGCTGCACGTCACGCTCGTTTGCAGTCACGGTTAGGTGTATGTTCATGTTAATTTTTCAAATTAACCACGATGGTTGAAAATCGAATTGACGAAATTACAGAGAGTGTAAAACAACACCCCGTAATATGGGATAGCAGTTCCGCTAGTTATTCCAATCGACTAGATAAAAAAAAAGGCATGGGAAAATTTATGTTTAAAATTTACTGACAATTTTGAAACAAACTACAATTGAAAAAAGTCGAGAAAAAGCGAATTTTTGTAACGCTTCCACTCCATCCGCAATATGTTTAAATTGATCCTTATTCACATTTGACTTTCATTGTTTCACATGTAGAATACATCTGCATTAAAAGAGCTGGAATCAATTTTACCGAAAAACGTCCTGTTTGACGTAGAAGCGAATTTTTGTAACGCTTCTTCTCTAACCGCAATACAAATTGAGCCGTAATTAGCGATATTTTTAGCAAGATACGCTAATAAAAATCACCGAAAATGTCGTGTCCGTCAGGATGGCTGGACCAAACGAGATGTACAGATCAAACTGTGCCCTTTTTTTTCCTGGTTCCTATTTTTTACTATTTAGTATATATTGACATATTTTCTATCTTAGCGCTAATGGAAATGTTAAAGAAATAAAGTGGTCAGCCATTCTGACGTCATGTTGGCTGACCACTTTATTTCTTTAAATTTCTGCATTTCGAAAATATGTTAATCAAGGTACTAAATAGTAGAAAATATGTAGTAAATAATGAACACAGTTTGATTTGTATATCTCGTTTGGTCCAGCTATCCTGACGGACACAAAATATCGCACGGGCGAACATTCAAGCCATTGCCTAGTGCATCATAGAACTATTTTAGTCGTTCAAAAAAATGCCGTATAATAACTGTTATAAGTTATTATTAATTTGTTCATAAATGTCATCGGCATTTTTCATTACCAATATATAACATTTTGAAAAAAGTCTTCGCGTTACCCACGTAACTTCTACGTAACTAACTCTTCAATTCGTAAGAAACAGATTTGAAAACTAAGCTCAATCGGGCATTAGATGTGAAAAATGTGGCTGCTCGGCGGGTTTACACAACTTTTTAAGTTATTAAACACGCTGCATCTCAGTCACGCGTGGCAATTCCATCCTGTAACCATGGCATACACTCTAAAATAATTTTCTACATGAATTTTTGTTCAAAATTTGATAATAAAATTCAATTGAACTTTATGGCGCCCGATTGAGATCCATTTCAAATTTTTATAGTTTGTTTCATGTTCGTCTAAAATTAATTGAAATGGGAAATACGATGATATTTTGAAATAAACAAATTTATTCATATTGTTTAACTGTTTTTTTTGCGACTTCCATAATTAATGTCATGTCAGATACCTACATCTATGTATCTGTAACTATAAAAAGAGAAACTGGAACTTTACACCTTCAAAATGTAAATATATTGGGCATCGCTTCACGTTTCTTGCGGCCGTTTCATCCCATTCCAAGGCGCCTTTCTTACTTTAGCACAACAGATAATTGATTCATATGAATAGAAATCGTGATATGGCGCCGGTCGCGTTTCTGTCCCAAGTGACTATCGATATCGGTAGCGAATCTAGAGAGCTTCATACAATAATCTATTGTGCGCGTGCAATTAGCTATTTTGTATGGAAGCACCTGTATGTATAAAACTCGAAACTGACGAGGTATGTATTACATGTAGAGCAATCACCATATAAGCACTACATATTTACATGCTTCTTAATAGAAATTGCCAATATTAAAGATTATGACATTTCAGAAATTGCACCGGTGTGTAATCTTCATAACAGAAAGACCAAAAGTAACAAAAAATACTATGTGTATCGATATAACTAGTATGGGTATCTAAAAGTATCTTACTCTGCATTACCAATATAACAATATTGTAACCTCCAGTGTCACCATTTTCGAAATGGTAGCTTTCTTGGCAAGTTTTAAGTGAATAATAATTGCCTTATTCCAGGTTATAAATTTAATAATTTATATATTATTAATTTAATTTATAGTTTGATGTAGAAATATTTTGTGGTAAACTTTTGCTTGTTACGGTACTTTTTTATGATTATACCTGACATCCTTATTCCCACCAAAAGCAGAAATGTCAAAATGGCGTCAATGTATGAACAATGTTGCAATTTCGTCGGGAATTCCCCAAATTACGGGGAATTAACAACACAAAAGCTTGAAACATACAAAGAACAGGTGCGGGCCGGGACCGCGGCGGGTCTAATTCCGTATATTTATATGCGCCTGCGCTCGGTGTGTTGTCGTCCATATAAATACACGGAATTAGACACGCCGCAGTTCCGACCTGACCCGCACCCTCTTTAGTTAGCAAGTCACATAAATGTTTGACATAACGTCGCCTTAGGCGCTCCCTCACCGCAAACATTCACCTATAATGTAATTTTCAAGATTCGTTTTCGAGCGTTACATTACAAACTGCCTCTCTCCCCGACGAGTATTCTCCTGTAATGTAACATTAAAAATTCGTTTTTTAGCATTACAATACAATAATGCCTCCTTCACCGACGAGCATACGCTTGTAATGTAACATTAAAGATTCGATTAGGGTGTGTGACCAGAGATGTGCGAGATAGCAAGACGTGCGTGCGAGTGCCTCCAAATGCGTGCAAGTACCTCCGAGTGCGTGCAAGTGCCTTTGATCGCCCGCGCGTGCCCGCAAGAGCCAGGAGTGTCCGCAAGAGCCCGCGAGTGACTTTGAGTGCCAAACATTTATTGCGTTTACTACATTGTCAGCACCACATTTTTATCTTCGTCCTGAAATATTACATAGAAATCACATACAAGGTATTCACTCTAAGACGACGGTAAATGGAATTATTTGGTAGGATTTGAAACACTTTATCCTGCATTGCATAATTACTACTATTACCAGTCGGTGTGTGTTGAGCGCGTGATCGTTCCTAAACGGGCCGGATTCTGGTATGAAGAAAAACGAAAATAGCCATTGCCAAACAAAGACGAGTAGAATTTCACACTACAACTTGCCACTCGTCAAGTTTAAATATTAAATTAAATAGGTAATGAAACTATTTTTCGGGATTTAAATCGCGTATATTTGTTTTTTCAAACAAACCGACGTTTCGGGCCCTTTACAGGTCCCATGGTCACTGTTGACAAGTCAACCGTGACCATGAAACTGTGTAACAATCACGAAAACCTAAGAACTCGATATATTAAATTAAATTCTAAACTTAATTTAGCTCGTTCGGGCCATATCCCATGAAACAGTTTCTCCTACCTGATGGGTGGACAACTTCTCCCAAATGCTCTATTCGTAACAAGAGAGCCTCTCTCTTGTTACGAATAGAGACGACGTGGTATACGTCCTCACGTATACCACGTCGTTGTGGGGTGTGTTCGGAGCGAGGCTAAGAGTTTTCAGCGGGCATTAAATTTAACTTGCCAATACGTGGTTATGTGTAACAACATACTGGCCAACCCTACTTCGAAAGCAATGTGTAAAATGTAGATAGGTAATTAATAACTTATCAGTATTTATGTGTTGATTTGTATGTAGTGCATTAGAGTGGTGCTTATTCCTATGGGGGTGGCATATTCTATTAAGAATAAACCCTATAATAAATAGAGAAAAAAACTTAACTCGATGACATCGTGAGGAATATGAACTTTGCTCTCTCCGAATTTGGGGATTTTAACCTTGATTTTTGGGGATTTGGAATAATGACCACTGGCAACGCTGCGCTGCGCACGACTCTCACGCACTAAAAATTTCGTAATTTGTGAATCTCACGGAGCGGAATCTAACCAATCAGAGGCAGTGATCATGCACTGACACTGAATCATTAAAAAAAAAGTCTTTCTTTTTCTAGCGAGCTGTTGACGTTTTGGTTGTGGTTCGCCTTTTATCCGATTTAATTGGGTTGAAATTAATTTAATTTGTTAAGCATAAGTCGAAATATCCTACCACAATGCCGCCTAAGTTCGATCCTAACGAAGTTAAAATCGGTGAGCATCAGACCAGGTACAATATGAAAAAGTTTTCGTTAGTGTTTTTTCAACTTTTGCTTATATTTTTACAGTTTATTTGAGATGTGTGGGAGGAGAAGTCGGTGCCACTTCATCTTTGGCTCCCAAGATCGGTCCCCTGGGTCTCGTGAGTATACAATTAAGTTTTCTTCGCTCTCCAAATTCTAACCTCTAATCTTAGCGTGGCAGTCGAGAATAAAGCGGCGAAGGCTGTAGCATTTATCGATAACCTGTTCTGTGTTATGTTGTTCCTGGTGCGGGATAACCTGTTCGTTTTGTAATTTAAAAAAAGACCATCATGTGTGGATTACAAATGAATCGACGATTATCTTGAACAAACGATGATTGATTGATGATCCTGGGGGGTGCCTCCCTACCAGGCGCGTCCTTCCGGGTGGCGGATGGAAGGAACCCGCGACTTAGGATGTATTTCCCTGTCGCGGCTACTCCGAATGTCTAAGCCTATGGTCTTTTTGAACCTCGTTGCTGAAATTGAAGGTTATGAAAAGACTACAGGGTAAATAAGGAGTCGCGGACCAGGCCATGATGGCCACGCTTTGACATGTCACAAAGGTATATTTGTGTGCATACAGTTATTTAATATATTAATTGAAAATCCTAGCACCTGAATTGAGACTGTATATTGAAACTTCAAAGTACCTACATATGCTGTTTAGAGTAAAAATGTCATAATTTTGTTTACTACATTCTACAATCTACTTGCAAAAGATTTATTGGTTCACAAAAAAGGTTAAAAGGTTACCTAAACATATCGAGTTCTTAGGTTTTCGCGATTGTTACACATAGGAAATGAAACAAATTTTCTGGATTTATATCGCGTGTATTTGTTTTTTCCAAACATACTGACGTTTCGGGCCCTTTACAGGTCCCATGGTCATGGTTGACTGAGGCGGTACAGTCTTCAACCAGTTATGTCTAATATTAATGAGGAAATACTGGATCCCAACCTGGTGGTACGGAGAAACCATCTTCCCTGTTGAAATTAGGATGTTTTTTAATTTCAATGGCCTCTCACAGCATCCTGGGTAGATAACGGACTTCTTTTGCAAGGACCTGGGGTTTGTCAAACTTCATTGAATGTGCAGGTGCCATGACATGCTCGCAGACAGCAGACTTGTTTACGCGACGGTGTTTGACATCAGCTATATGTTCTTTGACGTGGTTACAAATACTTCGCGTTGTGTGTCCAATATAAGAGAGACAGCACTCACAGTCAAGCTTGTAAACTCCTGCATTCTGTAAGGGGATGTTACATTTCACAGGTCACACGAACTGAGAAATCTTCCTCAGGGGCTTGAAACAGGTCTTGATAGATGCACACCTGAGGACTCTTCCGATCTTGTCTGTAACACATCTCAGGTAAGGTAAGATGGCAGGTCTTCGCTCGACTGTTGGTGGTTTCACACGGGGCCTGCAGCATTGGCGTGGAATTTTCAGCTTATTTGCATGTAGGATTTGCTTTGTATGCTGAAGTTCTCCTGCCAGATTATTATTGTCGCAGACACCATGTGCTCTCTGAAACAAAGATTTGCCCACAGTAGCTAACTGGGTAGGGCGGTGATGGGAATTACCATTGAGATACGTATCTGTATGGGTTTTCTTTTGAAATACAGTATGGCCTAAGGTGTTATTAGGATTTCTTTCAATTAAAACATCTAATAAAGCTAAAGTACCACAATTATCTTGTTCCATAGCAAATTGGATCATGGTACTAAAAGAATTAAGATGGTCCGAAACGTCGGTTTGTTTGAAAAAACAAATTACGCGATTTAAATCCAGAAAAATAGTTTCATTTCTTATAGGTTACCTAAAGCTTTTAATAATTTTTTTATCAATAAATATTTTTTACATTCTCGGACCAGAGTTTACTACCTAAATTCCGTCCCAATTTTCATTATTTAAATATTCAAGTATTTATTGTGTAATTTTTAAATAATATTTCATGATGCAATACTCGAATATTAAAATAAAATTGCTGACAACTTTTTTTTTCTCTTATTTAATAACACAATTTCTTTTCTGCAACAGTCCCCTAAAAAGGTGGGAGATGACATCGCCAAAGCGACCGGAGACTGGAAGGGCCTGAAAATAACAGTCAAGCTGATTGTACAAAACAGACAAGCCCAGATTTCTGTTGTCCCTTCTGCTGCTGCCCTCATAATCAGAGCCCTAAAGGAGCCTCCTCGTGACCGCAAGAAACAAAAGAATGGTAAGTAAATATCAAAAATAATTATTTATATTTCTGGTTACTCAAAATATTAACAATTATTCCTTTAGAAATTAAAGCATTAATATATTTTCATTGAATTGCATAGTGTTTAACCTATTTGAATAAATAAATAACGCAAACACACACTCTAGGGAAACTGTGTCGCGGGTGCCGTGAACACACACATAGACAACCAAAAATTACACCCAAATTTACCACAGGAAAGAAATAAATGTAGGCCATACAAATATTTATCCCGGCCCGGGAATCGAATCCAAAACCTCTGCGTGGCAGACCAGCATGGTAACCGTTCGGCCACTGAAGTAGTTAATAATAAACAAAAAACTGCCTCAGTACAGCACGTAATTGTAGTGGTATTTGCTATTAAATACAGAAAAATCATTTGACAGCTCGTTATAATTTGTTCAGACTACTAGACTGTATATTATAGATATTGTAGTTATCACATTATATAAAAATATTAATAAATGTCTTTATCTCAATTTCCAGTTAAACACAATGGCAACATAACCCTCGAAGATGTGATCGGCATTGCCAAGGTCATGAGGCCACGCTCGATGGCGCGAGAACTGTCTGGGTCAGTGAAGGAAATCCTTGGCACTGCACAGTCAGTCGGCTGCACAGTTGAGGGCAGGCCCCCACATGACCTAATTGTGGACATCAACAATGGTGCACTCACTATTGACGAATAAACTATGAGAACTTCGTAAATTTGTATTTGTTTAAAACCTATTCATCATCAAACGTCGGCACTGGTCTCCTTTAATACCGACTGGCTATATTTCATTAAAATGTCTTCTGGTTTGATAAATTGTAATTGGAATAGAACCGTTAAAATATCCTTTTACACGTTACAATAATATCTCCATGTTGTCTTATTCACACGCTAATAATCTTGCTACTAAAGGTACAGATTATTGACAATCGTTATTGTCACTGTCGTGTGTTTTGATGTTCAATAGGTTAAGGTCTATCAGATAACACATTTGCTCGATTTTGTCGATCGTCACTGACGCCTATAGCGATCTACAATTACCAGGGTTGAATTCGAAAAAAATTAATGATTTATGTAAAGATCATATTTAGCAAGGGTCGATTTTGAAGGTCTTGATAGTTATTAAATGATAAATAGTAATAACTATAGTCCATTTGGTTAGGTACTACTGTAAACAATCTATAACTAAATGAAACAATCTTGAGATGCCTATTTAATGAAATATACATTTATAAAATGATTTTTACTATTCTACAAATACTTGGCTTCATATGAAATTGCATGCCTATTTTTATATCTATTGATTTGTAAAGTGTAGGTATGTTTCAACAAAAATATGTATCAAGATTTTTTTACCATTTATTTATGTATGTACCTAAACAAATGGACTGTATATCACATTAATTAATTAATACTTATGTGTATAGTAACTACACCCAAGTTATTATTAATTTGTTCATGAATTCCATCGGCATTTTTTATCGCCAACATAACATTTTGGAATAAATATTTTCGTGTTATTCATGTTACCACTTCAATTTGAAAACTTGACGCAATCGGGCATTATATTATTATGCATATTAAAAATGAATGTAGGCGCGGGACGGGTTAACTCAACTTGATAGGTTGCTAAACCAGACTCGCCATACTCACGCATGGCATTTCTATCCTCTAGGCATGGCATACGGTCTAAAAGAATTTTCTACATGAATTTATATTCAAAATTTGAAAATGGAACTCAAGTGTGTTTTATATTGCCCCTTGAGTTCCATTTTCAATGATTTATAGTTTGTTCAGAATTAATTGAAATGGGAATTACGAAGATATGTTTAAATAAACAAATTAATAATAATTTCTTAATATTATTTTTGCGACTTTCATAATTATTTTCATCATACATGTGTAGAATGCATGTATCTCAAACTCTTGAGCACTCTTGAGTAAACTGGAACTTTTGTACGCATACAACCCTAGCAGTGGAGTTTGCACTTTCAAAATGTAGCTCTATTTGGCATCGCTTCACGTTTCACCCCTTTCCAATTTACAATATTTTATGCGCGTATCTTTAGTTAGCAAGCATTACGTATTTCCATATTTTTCACCAAAAACTGTTAATATTAAAGAATATGTCATTTCAGAAATTGCACAAATTGCACCTATGTGTAATTTTCATAACAGAAAAAACAAAAACGTAACTGAAATAAGTGAAAAAATACAATATGTATCATCTAGTACGGGTACTAAAAAGTACTCACTCAGCAATACCAATATAACAATTGTAACCACCAGTGTTACCACTATTTTCGAAATGGTAGCTTCCTTGGCGACAAATAAATCATTATTAATTTGAAAAAAACATCAGATCGGTTAAGTATTGAAATAGGTTAGAAGTGAATAATAATTGTCTTCTTATTCCAGGTTTTAAATTTTAAAAGGTTTAATGTGGAAATATTTTATGGTAAGCTTTTGCTTGGCAGGGTACATTTTTGTGATTATACCTGACATCCCCATTCCCTCCAAAGCAGAAATGTCAAAATGGCGTCAACGCAGGACGCTTGGTATATTTCTTTACTTGGTTTAGCGGAACATTTCCGCACATCAAATCCTCCTGACATAAAAAGTTGTATCCAGTGCCTACAAGCCGTATTTAATTTCAAACCACCGCAGAGGGTCGAGGCCCGAACTCATTTACAACTTGGGAATATCCTCTTGACACACACTAAAAACATCGAATTGGCGAGAACGCATTTAGAGCAAAGTGTAAGTTTTTGTTGCTTATTCTGCCTATATTTTTTCGTAGCGGGAAGTCCCTGTGTGATAACCCTTTCATGTAATGTACAAATCATGGTTTATGTAAAGTTTTATGAGCAGTGTTAAAAGTGACAACTTTCCCATAGAATGTAAACAATGTTGTGAAGTGGGTCATATGGTGTTTTTGTTGCAGTGGTGCCTCTCGCAGTCGATTAATGGCTTCGACGACGTCAAGTTCGAGGCGGCGAGCGTGCTGGCTGAGCTGTTCGAGCAGCAGGGCCAGCCCACTCATTCTAAACCCATTCTACGAAAGGCTATTGAGTTGTCACAGCACAGTGTGTATTGGCATTGCAGACTTATATTCCAATTGGCAGTAAGTATATTTCAGAATTATTAATAATTTAATGTTACTTGTTTTAACTGAGAATTATCTTTGACTTGAATTTTGAGATTGATGCCAAACGGTTTGTTCACAAATGTTATGCCATTATCCATTACTGAAAGACAAGCCAGGAGAATTAGTAAAAAAGTCAGTTGAAAAGGACTGGAATGGCCTGTAAGTCATTATTTAAACCAATTGTTGAAATCTGTTCAAACAACATTGTTGGGAAACATACCAAAGAACATTGTTGGGAAACATAGAAACAACCTATAGTTCTGATGAAACTTTAAATAATCATAGTTCCTGCATTTGGCTTGTGTGGCTTTCTTGGAGGCACCCAATATTCATCAGTCAGAATTAAAAGTAATTGTTTTGGAATTATATTTTATTTTGTACAGAACATTAAACTTGTGTGGTTCCTATGTCAAGTTTGTTTTAGGCAAAGACTGAGCATGAATAGGTATTATATTATATTTTAGAGAAATGCGTATCATCATCACTTGCAATTTCGCTAAAATCACTGACATGGCTACCAAGTATGTGTTTATTATTTATGAAAAAAAAAAACCCTTTAAAATTATGCATATAAAATAAAACATAAAGTTATGATTTCTATAGTATCGCTTTACAAAACTAATTACTATAGTGAACAAATTACAATTGTGTATACAAATATAAACCTAACACAAATAAGAAACAACATAAGTTTCCGTATAGCCTGAATAGCTGAGATATCATAATTGCAATCTTTTACTATGTGGTTAGATTTAGTTATGCTGATTTGCAATACAAATTGAGTTGCTCATTTTGTTGTAGGAATGTGTTTTATTTTGTTTTTTATTTGTTTTCAAAATATTACATATTTACTACGCAATTTTTTCTTTTACTATGCATGTTTAGGTAAAGATTTTGTAAAATAAATATACTACAATATCTAGGATCTGATATTTATTCCACTGCAGGACAGATGGCTCTTTGTTTTCTAAAATGACACTATTTTAGAAAATAAGTATTTGCCATAAACCTCAATAGATTTGCTCTAATGGTTAATAGTGGATAGCCAGAAAATCACAGCTCATCAAAATTTGCAGTTAAGATGGTACTTCTCAGAGTTTCCTTGGTTAACCAAATATTATTGTAACCTTTTGATGCATTTGGGATTGAAATTGTATCTTTAAAAATTTTAAAATGTTTCTATGTATCACATAGAGCCAATGCTGATTGTAAAAGCTATGGTTTTTATACAATGTGATATTAATTTCAGCAAATTCATGCAACGGAGAGAGAGTATGAAGTTGCAAGCAGTCTCCTTGGTGTCGGAGTGGACTACGCTCAGATTTCCAATGCCGCTTACACAAGAGTACTGTTCTTACTTAGTAGAGTAATGGTATGTACTTTTTGATCACACAAATCCTCATGCACATTGCTGCCTGATGTACCTAGTTATTATAATACAATCATCCTTCACCATACTGTGACTGTGGTTAAGCAATGGAGCCTATGCACATTGGCATATTTTTTACGCGCAGAGACGTGCGTTTTACGAACGCGCGTTTACGGCGGCGTGAAGATTCAAAAAGCGAAAAAAGTTTGTTGTGTTTGTATCGATAATGAGGAAGGGCGCGCGCTAACGCCACTGGGTCGCTCCACCCGCGGTTGCCTGTAGCACCATATAGCATGTATGCCCATGGCATATTATGACGAGCGTGTTTGGCCCCATTGAATTTGAGAATGTGTGCAAAGGATTACTGGCAACTGCGCTCAAAAAATACGCCATATGTATAAACTCTTAAGGTTAACATGGTAAATGTATGATGAATTGATGATAGTAATGTAATGCGCCAGACAATCACATGAATTACCTGATCTCAAACTAAGATATTTCGTTTAATGTGAATACTAAGGAAATGAAATAATCCTTCTATCATAACCCAGAATACTGAGACCAGAACCAATTTAGAAAAGTTCATTTCTTAATATTTGTAGATTAAGAATTAAGAAAGCTTTTTCGTTTACCAAGACTTAATTTTTTTTGTAAATGTTTTGTCCTTTGTTCCAGTTGTTGTTAATAGACAAAAAGATTCAGGAAGTGTTACCACTACTCAACCAGGCCGGCCATTTAGTTGACTCCTGGACAGGCAGCCCACATCAAAAGGAGTATCTTAAAGTATTCTTCCTTGTTCTACAGGTAAGTCAGTTACCTCTCTATTAATTCTATGAACAACCCTTAAATTTAGGCGTCACAATGAAATTTAGATTAATGAAGTCAAGCAATGCAATTTATGTTATCTAGTACTAATCCATTTGTCATTTCCACATTTTGAAATGTTTAATACACAGTTGTATTTATAGTATAAGTACAACGAAGAACGTTTAATTTAGCATTAACGTGGGGGCGCGTGTTGTCTGACAATATTTTTGTTCTGGTAAAAAAATAACAGAAACTAAGTAACTATAAAATAATGTTATACCTAATATTGTGAAGGTAATAAAGACATTTTCATTTCATTAACTATCATTATTTTGGATCTAGACACCAACAATTCACAGTTAATAAGTCACTTCCAGTAGTAGTATTCTTGGATATCCTGGAGGCTTTTGATAGTGTGGCACAAGGGTCTTCTAAGCAAAATGAAGATCAGCCTTCCACACAACTATTCTAATTTGATATTCAAGTCCAACAAAACAAAAAGATTAGTGCAGGCAATAGAAGAAGTGGGACTTATAATTTTCAGAAAATTATTGTTGGTGTACCTCAGGGCTTGGTTTTAGGTCCAGTGCTATACTATATTCACTGCTCAGCTGACCAACCTGAAAGAGGTGTCGCAATGTTTGCTGACGATACTTGTATAATAATAATAATAATAACGCACACACTCAACATAGCCCCGCACTAGGGAAACCCTGTGTCGCGGGTGCCATGGACACACACATAGACAACCACAAATTACACCCAAACTCACGAGAGAAATAATTGTAGGCCATACAAATATTTCTCCCGGCCCGGGAATCGAACCTGGGACCTCTGCGTGGCAGTCCGGTATGGTAACCGTTCGGCCACGGAGGCAGTTAAATAGTATATTAGAGTGTATATTAGCAATTAGCAAATATCCTGTAGTAGCAACTCAAATTCAACAGAAAGAGAGGTACAAAATCACCTAGTAGTTATAGAGATAGAGAATGAAAGCCCATACACAGGTTTAACACACAGAAAACGGTTCTCTTGTGCAACATGACAACACGACATTACCCCACACAGGGTCTCGATCGTCGATAGAAATAACAAAAAGTCGTACTTAAGTCTATTTGGATGTACCGTGTTCAACTAAGCTCATGTTCATTACGAACACAGAAATATTCAATAAACATGTGAAGAAGGAAATTCATGTTACCACACAGGGATAGTGGAGGAGGATAGAAAGTCAATATAAAAAAACACTACAAGTAGCAGTTGCTACACTCACAATATCTGATTACCAAAAACGCCTTTAAAAAAACATTGTCAACTATGATATAATAGACTGTCTCTTGTTCCCCTGGATGCTGTGAGCCTATGCTTAAGCCGATCAATCACATACAAAAAAAATTAAGTGGGAGCACTAATTGCAGATTCATTCGTTTATTCACAAAAAGAGAAAAATAGAGAGCTTGTGTACTATTTTCACGGTGTTCATACCTAGCCTGATTTTTTTTCTATGATACGATACAATAGAATTGGTCCTTATTGCCGTATTTAAATCGCTTTAAAATAAGCAATTATTACTTGTCAGACCTGAACAATGGACTCATTAGCAAGCTTGGAGGCCAGAATTGCATTTACTCAATTGTTATGCAAATGCTATAAATTATTATTAGCTTTATTTTTAAAATGGTCCCACAGAACACATAAGAAAAAATCGTACTTGGATACAAATGATGCATTGACACTATGGGAACGGGTGCCGAATCACATATTTGTATCATACAAAAATATGTAGTGGCACCATAGTGGCACTATGAAAATGAAGAACTTGTGCATAGAAAGTAATATATTATTGTGGAAAGGAAAATTAAATATTTGTTTATAGCAATAGGGTTGGTTTTGTAGTACTATTTTTCGCTTGTGGTTATGCAGCAGTCGCATTGACAGATATTATGCTGTAAGTCAATGCAACACTAATGCCAATTCCTGGTTATTGCGTTATTATTATTATAATAACAACCATGGTGCGGACCAACTCTTGTCGTCGAATTTTTAAATGATAAATACCTAAATTAATTGTCTAATTTTTGACATTGGACGTTAATGACGCTATTCATATTACGATATTATTTTGACATCTAGTTTCCATTAAAATTGACCCATTAAACTATCATCGCGGTTAAATTTTGACCGACTTATTAAATCCATGTAACTATTAATGAAAACGAAACAATGTTATACCTGGTTTACATGTGCGTGAATGTATAATGTACTTTCAATATTTGTATGCTTAATGTTTGGCCAGACACAGTGAAACTACACTTAGTTTGTACATGTCAACTTCTATATAACCTGTGTTTTTACCATTGACTTACAAATAAATGGACGACGGGTCTAATACAAAAACCACGAAAAAAATGTCCCAAGTCAACCTATTTAAACGTAGTGACATGTAAAGGAATATGACAAAGCTAAAACGTTGAATTTAAATTGTAATGTCATCGCAGTACTAATTTGGCTTGCTTCGCTGTCAGTTGAACAAACGAAGACTAAAGCGTGAATGACGCTCTGTATACGATTTTAAAGGCCCATTTAGATGGAGAGAATTTCTCGCACGCTTCGTGACGAAAACTCGTACGCGATTATCGTAAGTAATAATCGCCATAAGATTATCGTATCATAATGTTTACATTCAGGCAAGAACTAAAATCTCGCCTACGATTATGTCATACGAGATTCGCAAGCAACTTAATCGCCTCCTCGACTGTTTACACAGAGAAATATGTAGTAAGGAGATTCTTGCTTACGAGTTTTCGACTAAACACGATCTCGTATGACATTTTTTCAAGTTCATACGATTATCGTACAAATCCGTTCGAATCGTTTTGAGTGCGAGAATCGCCATTCGAGTTCAGTGATTACTGCGGTATTGACTGTGGACATATCGAAATGAAGCAAAAATCATTCAAATTTGGAAATGCTGATAATATTAAGTTCATTGCATTGTAGAGAAATATACATTTTTTTTTTTCAAATTTTATAATATTTTTTAACCCAAATTTTTTTTCGTTCTCGTTTCATTAATTCTTGTCTTAGAAAAGCAGTGATAATTAAAACACCCTCGCGCATTGCACTCGTGGTAGAAACGGCTGGCACAGAAACTCGAAATACGATTTTTGCTTTCGAGTTCTGTTTACGTGGAGACGTTCAATATTGAAAGGCGAGGCGATTATCGCTCACGTGGACGGTCGATAATCGCAAATGTTTAGACGAGGAAAATTTTTTATATTCTTTCGATAATCGTATCTTCGAGACGAGAAACTCTCTCCATCTAAATGGGCCTTAACGCCCTATAAGTTCGGACACTTTTTAGCGCGGTCCCGACGTCCATATAATTGTAAGTCAATGGCTTTTACAAATAAATTTGTTATTATTATTATTACAATTTACATACAAATTGGGCTTTGTATTAGTCAACACTCGCATTGGCAACGGCGAAACGTGTGTCAGGATCATAGCAAGTGGAAGACTGGACTGCGACTCCGGTGGGAAAAGAACTTTTGTTTAGCAAGGCATTGAACTTACTTCTTTATTGTGTGCAGGTATGCCATTACTTGATGGCGGGACAGGTGAAGAGCGTGAAGTCCTGCTTAAAGCAATTGCAGCAGAGTATCCAGACCATCATGGCGCCGACCTGGCCCGATGACGATGGTCAGTTCTTTATTGTAATTTAAGAATTAGGTAACCAGTGAAAGTCAGTTTCTGAATTAATTAATGTCTAAGTAGTCTTCAGGGCTAATGTGGTCTTGCTGGTAAACATTATGTTCCCACTTGTCAAATGAATTACATTTATTTGTGTGCTGATAAAGTCGCGATACGTCCGCAGCGGTGTGCGGCACAGCGGCAGGAGAGTCGTTCGTATGGCTGTCCCGCCAGCAGCTGTACGTGCTGGTGTACCTGGTGACCGTGATGCACTCGGCGCAGGCCGGCTACATGGACAAGGCGCACAAGTACACCGAGAAGGCGCTCGCGCAGATCGACAAGCTGACAAGTGAGCTTAGCGGTGGAGGTGGCCCGCGGCGGTGGTGCGTGCCCTAGCCTAACCGCGTCCCTGTCGCAGCGGGGGAGGAGCCGTCGCTGAGCCCCGCGTCGCCGCGCTGGAGCCGCGCGCTGGCGCTGGCCTGGCGCCTGCGCATGGCGCTGGTGGAGCACGCGGCGCTGTGCCGGCTGGTGGCCGGCGGCAAAGCGCACGCGCTGCACGAGATCGCCAAGGCCGCCAAGCTGTTAGCCAACGCGCCAACGCGTATGTCTCATGTATTATACGAGTCAGGCAATCCCCCGTTCCCGCCGAGGTATATTCACGAATGGAAATTACCTTGAATATTTAAGAAGGCTAATTTTACTTAAAGGAAACATTCTTTTATTTTTCTTAATATGAAAAACTGCATTCATAGACTTCGAAAAGCTTACCTGAACCAGAAATCGAAAAATTTTCAAGAATGTTTGAGAAAACGAACTTTTGTACATTGAATCTAGTCTTGATGTAACCCTGGCACTACCGTGCTCCAGAGTTAATTTAATTGCCCTAATACTTGTAACGCGGGGGATTTCCTTGTTCGAGACCAGATTAATAGTTATTTTCATAATTAGTAATAATTACACTCCGTCTCCATATGATACCTGATGGTTATGCTTGCAGCGGTGTGTGCGGCGGCTCACACGCCTCAACTGCATTGTCTTCTCGGTCTGTACGCCATGTCCATGAACTGCATGGAAGCCGCCGAGGCACAATTCCACACCGCCATACACGTGAGTACTCAATTTTAAGGGCAATATCATACAAACGGCGTAGCGTAACTGCACTACGAAACGTGACAGCGAGACGATTAGGTGTTGTCACCACGTTTAACGAGATCTTTAAAATATCGCAGTGGTAATTCGTCGCACAACACCAAAGCTAAAATAAAGTTTCTCACTTTCACGTATATTTGAAAGATTTCGACTTGATAACAATATTCATCTAAATAATAATTTAAAATTATAATTGAAAAATGTAAGTCCAAAAGTGAGGTTATTTTTCAAATGTATAAATATGGATTATCTATGGTTGTGAAGTGCTGTACGAAAAAGAAAATTTGGTTCATCCAATTAAGTTTTTGTAATTTATTATAAATTTAGGATTACTTTAAAATCCAACTTCGACTTCCTGGGTCAGTAGTTTTGCCCTACGATGCAGTAAACCATTTCCAGACATCCGGAATTAAAACAAGTAATTAATCAAAATTTGGTGGTTTTAACAATTCTATGTCACTCCTTGTAGCTATATCTATGCATGTAATCTATATATGTGGAACACCTTTTGCCGGCCATTGGTAATCAACAACGAAATCGCAAACAGAACTGTTATTCCAACTGATTCAATTAAACAAATTCATTCAATTAATTAATTGATTTCTAGTTGGCAGTATAACTGGCCATCACTAAACTGTCTATGGTCGGGTCAGTGACTTGTTTGTTTACTTTTTCTGTCAAATGGCTCGAAACAAACTTTGTAGTAATTCTTATTATGACGTCACTAAGACAAGTTTAACGACATAATGGCATAACGGACAAGGATAACGAAATTAAATGATTTTTGTTCTTAATGAATGGCTCGTGAGACTAATGTATTGTCTCAATTCTGCCAAATAAAATGTATGCTATGACATTGTTTCAGACGTCACAAGAAAGAGATTTATGGATGTTTGCCAAATTGAACTTGGCTATTGTATATTTACGACAACGGAGAGACAACGACTTAGCACAACTCATGGAACAAGTAAGATACGCTTTATTACTAAAACTATATGGTATTTTCTAAACTGTTGTATGCTTGTACTGTTTAAATATATAGAAGTAATGTTCTAATAACCAATTCAAAATGTTGCATTGAAGACATCTGGAAGAAATATGACAAATCAGAAATAACAATGAATACAAAAAAAAGTAACGTAAAAAAAATTGTTATTCTGCATTACTTAGGTTGAAAAACAGGGCAATTTGGACCTACAGAATCAAGAATTTTATATAAAGTTTAAAGTATCTTTGTTTTTGTTATATTACATAATTCAATTGGGAATGTCTTTACTGTATTTTTTTGTTACAGTTAAAGACTGCTAATTTTACTTGAGCTTTAATTTAATGCTGCCTTTTCATGTTTGTTTCAATATATTAAGTCTATCTAATTTCACTTTGAGTAAATAAAAAGAGAGCTTCAACTAAATGAGTCACTAATTAACTCCATAAATTGCAGGTAAGGCCAGAAGCGTTACCGGCGTATGCGCACGGCCTGAGGGCGGCGTCGTACTACGTGCTCGGACTGCAGGCTTTCTTCCAAGCGCGGTATAATGAAGCCAAGTACGTAAACCGTTATACCATTACCTTATGCGTTTGAGCGTATAATACGAGAAAAGAAAATACATAAACAAAATTCACAAAAAGGGGCTACAAGAGGCTGCTTTTTAACTGTGGGATGATTGCGCGAATACGGGGTGTTTTTGGATCGTGCAACGCAAAAGTGCAAAAACAGTGCAAGAAAGCATTTTCGCATGAAGCTGCGTCAGAAAAATGCATAAAGTTCTGATTAGGTTTAAATTTTATTGATACAAATGATATATCACTGTTTTCCTCGTGAGTAGCCCTATCCGAATATCATATTCTAATTAATAATAAAAACATATCTGATGCAGTTCTGATGCGATGAATTTATTTTGTACATGTTTCTTGCGCCTTCACTAAGATTGAGATTTATCAAACGAACTTTCGGCTAAGCAAAGATAGCGAGCTAAGCAAGTTTTTCGTATATACATAACGAACTTTGCCCAAGTTTAAGCAAGAAATTAAACTAAATTTTGAGTTTTATTCGTAATTTCTGTCTTATAATTACGCGAAGTTTGTAAATACGATAAACTTCTTGTTCGCCATTTTTGCTTAGTGTAAAGCAGGCCATACACCGCACGATTGTCGGACGAACTCTCCTATAATGTCACATATTGTCCTTACAACACCAGTGGATGTAGCCTACTGGTTCCGAAATATCGGGAAAATAAAAATAAGTCATACCGTGGTAAGAAACCTGATATTAGTGATAATCAAATTTTGTCAAGTTTGAAACAAACTATAGATCACAACATGAACATAAAATTCTGGGTCGAACTCGTAGTTTATTAATTTTTTTACGATCTAATTGTATGTTAAGTTTATTCGTGGTACTGGGACGATTCTATTATAAAAATAAAATTAAAAAAGAAATAAGAATAATTCAAATTTTTATTGAATTAATATTCAATTATTTTTTGTGAAATTACTTCACTAATTTGTTATAATTATTAATACAAAGATCGAACACTCAGAAAAAATTCCTTCGATCCGGTCGGATTCGAACCGACGTCTTCTAGCTTACCGTGCTAAGAATATTTTATTTCATATAATTACGATCCATATTTCATATTTCAATTTATATTATATTTAAAATTTAGATCATTAAAACTGAGTTTAAAAATTGAATTGACTAAAATCTACAGATGGTTTAAAAGTACCTATGATCTAAGTGTTAGTAATGACATGCAAGTGACAAGTGCGGTTTATGTGATGCTGGAGCTGGCCCGTACAGGCGTACACTGCTCACCTGTGCCGAGGCGCGTTTGGCGAGGTGCGCTGCTGCTGTTATGAAATTATCCTGTATCTCTTAGAAATGAATTTAAACTTAGTAAGAAGAAAAAAATATTGAAAAAAGTTCGAATACCTTTTGGAGACATCTGTCTCATAACCACGTTTCTAATCCCCTCTTCAATTTCAATATGGTTTAAATTTTTTTTTCTACTATTTGCAGGAGGTACCTTCGAGAGACTTTGAAAATGGCCAACGCCGAAGATCTGAACAGGTTAACCTCGTGCTCGCTGGTGCTGCTGGGGCACATCTTCCTGTCCATCAACAACTCGCGCGAGAGCATGAACATGGTAACGCCGGCCATGCAGCTGGCCAGCAAGATCCCCGACGTGCATGTGCAGCTATGGGCTTCGGCCATATTGAAAGGTATACACGATGATTTTCTTTACTTATTTAAACAGCTTAAAAGTAAATTAAATAATATTAATAACAACTAAGAGCCAATTAAAAATCTTCACATATAAAAATATAATAAGGCATCTGGGTGCACAATTTATCTAATTTATTATAAAAAACACTAAAAAAAAACCATAGAAGTTGCAAGCCTCACTAAGGGTCGTATTCTAGAACTCTACTCAATGCTCAAGTCAGGATTTGAGTATGGTATAAGCACTCGAAATCATACTCAAGTCCCTGCCATTAGGGTCGTATTTCCAATGTTTGTGTTTCCAGTGCAATCCTGACTTGAGCATTGAGTAGAGTTCAGGACTTGAGTATTGCAGTGAGCACTGAAAATCATACTCAAGTCCTTGCCATTAGGGTCGTATTTCCAGTGCTTGAAATCATACTCAAGTCTGCTCAAATCCTGACTTGAGCATTGAATAGAATTCTGGAATACGACTCTAAGAGTCGAAGAACTGCTCACTTAGTGCTCTTATTGCCGAAATCACACCCGTATTGAACAGATCCAGATCAAAAGTATTAGTAATGTTAAATTTATTGCTTGCACACCACATAAACTCGTTTTGCCTGTAATTACACACATCAAAAGTGTCTAGGGATCAAGTGAATATTTTTGAAATAAAAATTATTTAAGCAATATTTACCAAACCCAGTCTTCCAGGACGACTTCTTACTTTAATGCTTATGTTTTATTTAAACGCTTACCCCTTTATTTAATAAAAATAAACTAAAATTGATGTTTTTGCAAATTGTGGGAAAAAACTCAAATTAAATGACAAAAAAATGGCGAAAATGATGATTTTGCTCATTTTTATTGTAAAGATAAGAAAATTAATAATCTGTATTTCCACCATTAACACGAATCACACAATTACAGCGATTTGGCATGCTTAAGATGAGTTCATCAAAATCACTTTAAGGAATGGCCGCCCATGTGTTTTGTAACAAGTCAAAATATTGTTGTAGAGTATGTACGGTATGCATACTTGGCACAGCTCTTCTTTGAAGCATATCCCATGCGTGCTCAATTGGATTGAGGTCTGGCGATTGAGCAGGCCACGGCAGAACGTTGATACGAGCTTCGGCAAGAATGCGTGTTACGACTCTAGCCGTGTGTGGACGTGCGTTGTCATGCATTAGTTGAAATGAATCACCCAACTGGCCCCGCAAAGGGATGATAACATCTGAAACAATCCTCTCTGCGTAAACTTGAGCATTGAGGTTACCCCTGATCCAAATGAGATCGGTTCTTCCGCCGATCCAAATACCGGCCCATATCATTATTGTTCCCCCACCATATGGATGAACTTCCTGACAATATCTCAAACGTTCATGACGTCCAGATGTTCTCCAAACTCGAGTACGTCTTGTATCCGGTCTCATACCGAAGCGGGATTCATCCGAAAAGCACACATAGCGCCTGTCTTCTTCCTCCCAGTTTCTGTGTTCGCGAGCCCATCGTAAACGGGTCCTGCGATTGCAGGGTGCAATAGGTGGAACTCTGAGCGGCCTTCGGGATCGCAGACCCACTTCAAGTAAACGATTTCGGATTGTTTGATCGCTTATTAGCAAGCCTGAGGAGCTGTGGAGCCTCGTAACCAACATCATGGCGGTCATGGTACGATTCCGTCGAGCAGTATTTTGGATATACCGGTCCTGTCTGCGAGTCGTGATGCGAGATCGTCCTCCATGTCGCTCGGCCACGCTGCCCGTCATGCGATAGCGCGTCCAGAGGCGACTTATGACGCTCTGTGTAGTGTTAAGAGTGAAAGCCACAGCACGTTGCCTGGAACCAGCTTCCAACATTCCGACGGCTCGCATCATCACTTCTCGGGTTAAATGATGTCGTCTCTCCATAATAATGTAAATTGTTTCGGTTCCGATGCAGATATTTTAATGATTTTGTCAAAACGCTATAACTCATTTTTATACAAAACCACATTGACAATCGATTTTCTTCTTATTATCGAATTTTAAACAATATTCCTTATTTAAATGTTAAAACTCACTAAAAAGTATCAATAGCGATACAAAAAAGTTAATATAATTAACCCTAATTGCAGCAATACTCTTAAACGTACTTGATCCCTAGACACTTTTGATGTGTGTAGTTTAGGCCGGAGGTAGAACCAAAAGTGAATTGTTTCTGAGTTACTTAGAGGGAACTCTCAGTGATAATTGTGATAGCAATTCCGGATCGTCAATAGAGTCGGATGCTATTCTTAATAAAAATTTAAAGTCATTAATATCACGAATTTCAAAAATATTTATTAAATAATTTTAAAAATATTGTAATAAGTGTTAGTGAACCAATAGGTACGACTGTGTTCTCCAATGTAAGATCTACTCTCTTCCTACGAGGCAACACCTCAAGTGAGTTTGTCATATAGGAACATCGAGTATTTAACCAGAAATTGAGACGAAATAAAGGCCATCCATCTCTGGCCACTCATCAGGAAAATGGGACTTAAATATCAGCTCTCGTTTGCACTGAAATCACAAATTAGAACGCTGAAATAGTATAGTGCCAACAACTGACCTGTCCATACGTCTCCGTATATTCCAAAAATATTCTTATTTATTGTAATAAAGGTAATATCTCTAACTATGAGGGCTGTTCCATTCAGAGTGTGGGAAAAACAGCAAAACATCTAATTACAAAACAAACAGAATCACATTTCATCGGTAACGGTTTTAACCCACACACTTTTTTTTAAGTGAATGTGTGCGTTAAATCATTAACTTTAGCGCCGAAGGAGGTTTCCCATCACTAAACAGTGACGTCATAGGAGGTACAAAAATGTGGCAATTTTGGTTGTCATGCAGATCGCGGTACTTACGTGTCGTCTGTTTGGATACAAGTTACTAGTATTTATGTGGTTTGTGGGATACATTTCTATGTAAATACCAGAGTGTTTTTTTTTATGATACAAAATGACCGCACGAACAAGTCGTGTGCGTGGTTGCGACACGCATGTCCGCAATAGTTGCAGTGTCGCTCAGAGGCTTAGCCTTCAAAATCGGAACGCAATAATGCATTACATTACTGCTTGGCGGCATAAATAGGTAAGGTTTTTCTCTGGACGAACTCTTTCACAAGGAACTCTACTGCTACTCAATTAAGTGTTACAGCCCATAATAAAAACTAGTTTAAAAACAAAGTATTTGTCGACAGATCTGTACCGGCTCGCAGGCGACACGGAGCGGGAGAACGAAGCATATCAGATGCACTGCAACTTCTCTCAAGCGTTACTCAAGGACCACTTCCAAGCCTCGCAGCTTCCTCAGCACGCCCTCGTCCAATGGACGACGGGTTCTCCCCCTGCGCTCCCCGCACCCCCTATAGCGCCACCCACCCCTTCAACACACACCCTTCCGCACACGTAGTGACCACTGGAAATGTCCTGTGGGTGACGCTATTACCTAAGGTCAGTCTTGTAATGTAAGTGTACATTTAGCCTGTACACGAGCTACGTGATCATTGTGAAGTGACGTCACTGCGCTAGTGAAAATTTAGGATAGGAACGTTGTTCTAATCACGTGGTACAGGGGGTCTATTCCCTTTCTGCGTCCGACATCGGCAAGTATGAAGCTTCATTCGCGTCTTTTAATTTGATCGAGTTTTACCTATTTGACAGTAATTGTTTCGGACGTTGAACGGGAATAGACCTCCAGAAACTCGGGTGAGAGTTGCTATGATCTTTGGTCACCAACATTTTATTTCCGACATGACAGCGTTAGTTACTTTTTTTTTTGTTAACATGAGTTGTTCGCACTGGCGTTAGTTTGGCGCTAGGTCTTCCGCTACGAAAACTAAGTAAAATCTGACGTAGATATGGAATCATATTTCGCAATGACGTATGGTTTAAAAATAGCCTTAAATTTTATTTATATAAATATATGACGATCATTTAGGTACGACTAGTTGTCATACATTAAGTTGAAAGGCAACTGAAATTTCAGTATCCAATAAGTATAGCGAGTGACGTCACTAGAGATGTTATAATACAGACAGCCCTACTAACACGCCGTTATATGCACTGAGACAATACAATGAGAAATGCAATCTGAAGAATATTATTTTCCTTCTCATTCCTTCTTAACTTTACTAACTTGAAATCGAGTATATTTCTTAGATTGCCTTTGTCAAAATTGTTAAAGTAAAATAAAACGTTTCAGATGTGTGGCCTAAAAAGACATTCGAGTGACTTAATATTTAAATACATTTGTAAATATGCAGAATCTTCAGTTTGGGCTATATTGCTAGAAAACGCAGGCCTTTAAGCGAGATTTGTGTTAAAATCTTGGAATTTGGCAGCCCGTAACATTCTTTCAAACCGTCTAGCCCCGTGATTTCCCATACTTCGAAAGAGAACATTTTTAAGAACATTTTTATCGTATTATCATCCTTTCACTTGGTTTACAATTGTAAACAAACATAAGACTGTCTTAAACAAAAAATGAAATTCGAAAATCAACGGAAAACTGGGGTTATTCGGATATAACGTGTGAACAGAAAGACTTCGTACTTTGTAAAAGGTTTAGTTGTAACGGCCGTAGCTTACGCGTGACGCGCTCTGACTGTACAAATACATGACCCGTTGGCTTAGTGTCTATAGTACCATTGATTTGTACCATCAATGGTACAAATGATACTACTATGTGTCCTTAGTACCATCAATGGTACTACCGATACTAGCACGTGTCGCTAGTACCATTGCATCGAAATCATACAAAAAATATATACATATAATAGGGGTTTAATAGTAAATAAATAATTCCAACAATTCATTGAGGAAAAAACCTTCTTGGCTGTTTCCGCTACGTTTAAGTGCTAGATTAAATCCTGGCCACTTCAAAGATTACAATCTTCTTTTAAATAACTCATTGGAAAGCATCTTGTCTTTTGCCGTAAACAAATGATTACATTGACATTATAAGTAAATGTATTAATTGTGGGATGGATTATGTGTTTTTAATTAAAAAAAACGTATTCAATTCTAAACCTAAGGGATAAAATGGATATTAGTAATGAAAAACCAAATGTGAGCAGTGACCAAAATGATATAAAAATAGTCGCTCGTGGACGCGGCAAAGTGTTACTCTACAACGGCCACCAATATTATTTCCACGTGCGGTATAAAAACAACAATTGTTTGTGGAGATGTAAAAATTACAAAACCTTTAACTGTACTGGATCCGTTACGATTACCCAGGTAAAGTTTTAAAAAAAAAAGTTAATTAGCTTTTTTTATTTTTGCTTAGGGTCAATTCATGTTTAAGCTAATTTCGACCTTATTGGCATTTTGTAACTATAATGATTTTTCACACTTCTTTGATTAGTTCATTTTTGTATTAATTAGGCTGGTTGTTTCTGTGTACATTGTTTAGTGTAGTAGCCATTGTACATTGAAGTTTGCGTTGTGTGTGACATGTCCATCCGATAGGTATTTGTATATTTTTATTTTATTTTTAATTTTTACATTAAAAAAATACAAATTAATTGTAGCCGTACAAAAGTTCAAAAATTTAGTATCAATTTCTGTTTACTCCAGGATCAGTCAAAGTTGGTACAACAAAGGCAGCATTCAGAGAACTGTTTACCAGACGAAAATGAAAACATTATGTGTATTATCACAAGCTCAAGCTTAGACAGAGCAGCATCAAATGTCGAAGAGACAGTACCTGCGGTTTACAGAACTACCATAGCATCAATGAAAGATACAGGACTACACTTGATTAAGAAATTACCCACGTATAACAAATACAAATGCAAAGCATACAGAAGAAGAAGGAAATTGGCAGGAGTTGAGAAGATGGCATACAATGACATGAAAGAAGTTGAAGTGCCTCCAGATGACTTCCTTCTTGCTGATTACCGTGGTGGCAACGATCGTATCCTGATTTTTGCTCTAAAAGAAGCGAGGGAAATTGTGCTTAACGGAAAAGTGTTCTTATGTGACGGGACCTTCAAGAATTGCTTGAAACCGTTCTATCAGCTTTATGTACTTTTTTGTGATATAGGCAGCACCGCAAATGAAAATAATGTGATTCCTGTAATATACGCACTCCTACCGAATAAGAAACAGAAGACTTATTTGATTATGTTTGAACTAATCAAGTCACAGATACGGATGTCTACAAACGAAAAAAACTGGGAATGGGAACCCCATAAATTTATAACAGATTTCGAACAAGCGGCAATAAATGCCATTGAACGTGCATTTCCCCAGGTGTTACATCACGGTTGCTACTTCCATTTCCTGGATAAAATTAAAAGGAAAGCTACGCAACTTAAAATCCTACATAAATTTAAAAAAAATAGTAACAAAAACTTAAATAAAATAGTGAGCTTTTGTGCATGGTTCTCCCTCTTTTGCCAGAGTCCAAAATAGAAGAAGGTCTGAATTATATAATTGCAGAGAGTGTAATTATTGGTACTACATAAGAAGTTAATGATTTGTTAAAGTATATAACACATTTTTGGATGCCGAAAAAAGCACAGTGGTGCAGTTTTGGCGAGAGACATCGAACAACGAATTGTTGCGAAGCATGGAACGGTCAATTTAACAAGCGTTTTATGAGAAAACCTACCACAACATGCCAATTTCTAAAAGTTCTAAAAACAGATGCTGCATACCATTCCGTAAATGCTTTGACAACAGAGCCACAAAACTTAAGATCAAAAGCGGTGATCGACCGCAACAATTACATTCAACACGTGCAAATGCAATTAATTCAAGGCGACATTACAGTCGCATTGTTTTTAGAAAAATTGCGTCGTTAGAAAATGTGAGTTTTATTTTCACAAGTAAATACACGGTATAAACAAGTATAATTTTCAATGGTACTAAGGACACATAGTAGTATCATTTGTACCATTGATGGTACAAATCAATGGTACTATAGACACTACGGGGACCCGTTCTTTGTCTCAAGCATACATTTTAATAGTTTCGAAATTTAAATTATGTGTTTTCGACCAGAATCTCATAGAAATAATTGACTATCTCTTTAAAGGCTGAAGGCACTGGCATAACAATAAAAGCGGGTAACGATACCCGCTTTTACTGTAGCCCAGTTCCTAATTCGTTAGAACTTCAGATGTATTCACAACAGCTGTGTTCCAACTGTAGTAGAAAATAAATTTAGAGGCTTAACTTAGCTACGGAACGAGTCAGTAGACTTTATGAAAGCTTTTTGTTCACTCAGCCCGCTGGTAACTTTTCAGCTACCAGCTACTAACAAGGGATGTCGCTTTATTAATTGCAATATTTATTTTATTGATTAACATGATATTTTTACTACCATGATATTCATGTTGGCACAACTGTCGAATAATAGCGCAGACTACTGCAAACGACTAGTGCAGACCTCCTAAAGTTTGTTCCAATCCATTATACGAGAAAAGTAAACGAACCGCTTTGGTTAAAATTCGAAAGCAATTACACAATAAATGGAATAAGTAACTTTCACGTAAATTTTGAATATTTAGACTTGATATTATTATCATCACTTTTTCCAGCAATATTCATTTGAGTAACATATTAAAATCTCATTTGAAAAATGTTAGTTCAAATGTGAGGTTATTTTTCAAATATAGATTTGAGTGTAGTCTATGGTTGCATAGGGCTGTACGGAATTAAGACATTCAGTTTATTCAATTAAAGTTTTTATAATCGATTACTGAATCGAAAATTTAATCACAGTCGAACGAGTATCTAACTGTAAGGATTTGAAGGAGTATTTAGAATTTGAATGCGGAAATTTTAAATTTGCTTTTATAGGTCATGTAAGAAAAAATTTCAAATTTCATGTATGAAATATCATCACTCTGTATTGAGTCACATTGTTTTAGTAACCAGCAGCGAAATCGCAATCTATGGTGGGGTCAATGATCTGTTTGGTTACTTTTCTGGTACTATGGATTGAAACAGATTATAGTGTAGATGAAGGAGGAATGCGGATATGGGGCTACGCACTTGCTCGATTTGGCTTTAGTTGAAACAGCAGGCCGAGGGCCCTGACATTTTTTAAATTTGTCGTGGCCATGAGAAACCTGGCCACCCTATTGTTACACCACTACGGTTGCGGTGTTTAAGAACTAGTTTCAGGGTCCAATGAAAGTTTAGGAGTTTTAAAGTACCCGAGAAAAATTATAATACGGGATTCTGGTCCACTGCTAATTGTTTTCTAATGGGTTGTACATCCGATGATCTTAAATTAACGTGTCATAAATGTCAAGTTTACATAAATTCTGTTTATAACAAATTCTTAAAATTATTTTTGTAATAATTTGTCTAAATTTATGACAATAAGATCATATCACTTGTCGTGTCTGGATGTTAGTCTTATGGATTCGTAACGTATCTCTAAACCCATGTTCATGTGACGCTAGCTACACCTCGATTTGAAAACTTTCGAACGAAATTTTTGGTTCATGTATGCATGAAGAATTGTAATTTTGTACTATCAGCTAAGGTTCTTTTTACATAGGAGTAATTTTCAGGTTAGTTTTCTCTACCTAATTTCGGTTGCAATTTTTAATTTTTGAAATATTCTAGAACATTATTATGAAGTATTATTTACTATTACAGTATAGTATCTTGAAACATTATTTAATATTTCACGATAATATGTATGTATACTGGAATACAAATTGCCAGCGAAATTAGGTAGAGAAAACTGACCTGAAAATTACCCATAAGCAACATTGGCCCGGTAGCGGTTACCCGCAGTTTGCTTGTGGTTATCAACCAATTGCGTTTAAGGGCAAGATCATATTTTTATTATAAACATAATTTTTTCACAAAAACAACGGGACTAGTTGTCTAGCTAATCTCCTCCTGCAAACAAAACTGACTGTCAAAATGTTTGCGACTAGGAAGGCTTCATCTTTACTGATAGTACGCATGTTTAGATACATTAATTTATTCGTGGTTTGAAAGTTTTCGTTATCGGATGTTAATCATGCCTGATCTCATTCTTTCATCACATTACATAGCAATTTTATAACAGATTTCTCAGTAGTATCAAAATATACATACTTGAACTATAAAACCAAATATTAAACACTGCTTGCATTCAACTAATGCCGCATTAGCTTGATAAAGCGAATAGTTATAGCAAAACGCCGAATATTTAAGTCAGTTGTTTATAGTATAATAATTGAAAAAATAAATCGTCCCTATAAAATGCGCAAGCGTTTATGCAAAAGTAAGTACAATTGACCTTGTAACATTGCTCTTGACAACAATGTCGTAATTTTTCGATACTATTGAGAGATCTCGATACAAGGTGAAGGGGCCACGTCTTGTATGTGATTATTATGTGTGACTTGCAAATAGGACACGCCAAAGGAGAGTATAATAATGTCTTAATTTGCACACAGTATCCCTAAAACACTTGTGGTTTCGCAAAATTTCAAGGACTGATTATAAAAATTGTACATACAATAAATTTGTCAAATAATGAACTTGAGAAAGAACAAAACGTCTCATATTTATTATTAATTATAATTATAATTTCGTAGTAATTTGTTAGGAGTGAGAATGTTGTTGACGTTGTTTAATTTTAGTGAATTAAAATGATTTAGTATTGTTCAGTTCGATGTTGCAATGGGCGGATTTTATCTTGACGTCGTTTCGACACAATAGAATGTGGTCTCTATTTTGTTTTAAATTGTAGTCATGCTTCCATTAGCGTGTTGTGGTTGCGCCCGTTGGAACATCAAGTACCTTATAATTGACCTCACGCATCATTTTGACTCCGTACCAGGAGTTTATAGATTTATTTAAAAAAATCAAAATTTTAATATTCTGTACACGTTTTTTCATAATTCCCTTTGAAACAGTTGGATGTGGCCTTATAAAAAGGGTACATTTGCTGTTGTTAATATGTAAATAAAAGTTATTGTAAATAATAAAATTATAAAATATATGTTTTTTGCTATACATCTTGGTTTTTTTAATACCATATTTATCATCTCTATCTCATATCTCATATTTTCATAACTGAGATAGATAATATAGACTTATATTACATAATATGTAGGTACGACGCAGCAAAAATTATAAATAAGAACGACATGCCACAGGTGCGTTGAAACTGCGCGCCGCCGCAAGCAATATAGTGCGCTGAAATCATAGCGTTGCGACGACACAACAACCGTGTGGCGCGATGCCACATGGCGTCTAAGGCATACGATCTTATTCAGCTTTCAGTAACGAACCTTCTTATCTAATTGTCGTACATCTTTTTATAAATATAACTCATTGATGGAATGAGTTCATCATGAGCTATTATGATTTTGATGTTTTATTGAAATGGGATTTTTTTGTAAATGACTTGCAGGTGGAACAAGGGGGGGGGGGGGTGGGGGGTGACGTATAAAAAAAAAGGGGGGAAAAAACCCCCCTTACATTTTTATTTTTTAAAATTCACGTTACACTTTGTGTAAAAGGCTCAAATACATGAAGTCTAGTTTGCACTGCAAGAATACTCGCTACAAATAGATACTTCTGCGCCGGCAGGTTGTGCGTAATGAGGTGGATCAGGTCCAAGGTTATTCTTCCTGTAGAATGTTTCCTTCAGTAGAGCTTCCCGACCGTGGTGGACGTCTTTACCAAGCAATTTAGAGGCCTTTTGATTCCATCCATAGTCCCAACTTGTTACTATTCTGAAGTAAAATCTGTATAAATGAAAATATGTGATATTGGATGAAAAACCCAACGACTGTTACTTTAAATTCAATTATTGGCACGCGTTTTTTTCATTCTATAGTGCCAATAATAGTACAGTGCCAGAACTAACTTACGTGACACTTAAGGAAAAAAGTTTGTTACCAAGCAAAACAGACCAAACTCAAGCTCGCGCTCGTATGTAGCAAGTAGTTCTATCTAAAGTATCTAACCTGACCTTCGAAGAAAGGGTATGAAGGCTACATGGTATGGAAATGCGTCGCATTCCCTAAAAATACATTTCATCCCGACTGTCTTCCTAGAGGAGGTAACAGATTACGGTTATCCACGTTAAATGTAGTATCTTTCTGAGGATAAAACTCTAAGTTTATAGATGGTGATTTTCTTACCATAGCTATATATATTACCTTTAAACAGAATGATATTAAGCTAATGAAATTAAGAAGACGTACGCTGATTACTATACGGTGTGAAAACACGATTCTTAAAAATTTTTACGATAGAAAAAAACAAACTTAACTCGAAATTGTACAAAACGCTGTATTTAATAAGTACGTACTTAACATTATATAAATGATTTTTAAACGACTTCCAAAAAAAGGAAGGGGGTTCTTAATTCGACTGTATTTTTTTAACCGACTTCAAAAAAGGAGGAGGTTCTCAATTCGTCTGTATGTTTCTTTTTTTTGTATGTATGTTATGCAATAACTCCGCCATTTATGAACCGATTTTGATGATTCTTTTTTTGTCGGAAAGAGGGTACCTCAGAAGTGGTCCCATTTAAATTTGAAGGAAATATTCCACCTCTAAGGGTGATAAACTAGGGGATGAATGACTTTCGAGGTCGGTTTTTT